ATCACCAAATGCAACAACTTGTTATATTTCATACAAATTAAGATCAAAAAAGAATCAAACTTTCAATTACCTAGATAGTTTAGATCAATTATCTAGAGAAAATGTAGTTATGTGGTCTATTCAGACAGTCCATAAAAAGAGAGTGATAAATCAAATGAAGCATAATGATATACGAATAGATTTTTCAAAAAAACATGCATGCAAATGCCAAAAAATTGATGACAAAGACAAAGAAAGTTAAAATGACAGTTGCATGAGCTCTCTCTTACAATGAAATAAAGAGTTTATATACATTGTCTACCAAACAACTTGATGACTAAGATGATGTAAGTTCAGATAGAATTGTTGGTCAAAAACTCTGCCATGAATGATAAAATTGTGAGTATTTGAAGATAGTCGAGAATAAAAACTTAAAAAAACAAAACAAGACAAAGTTTACATTATTTCTTACTTGAATTAAGATAATATATTATCTTTATTTCATGTTGAATATATTATATACATAGATAAAAACTACTTTTTCATGTTATAGTCATCTTCTTCAGTATACTGAAGAAGATGACTACAATATGGAAGCTTACTGCTGATGTTGGACCAAGAGAGTTGATCTTTTTTTGAAGTGTAATATGTAACAAATTATGATAATATTATTTGTAATGAAACTTTCAAAATAGACACCGCAAGTGATGAAGCTTGCATAAAGGTATCGCAAGTCATAAAACTTGAAAAGATAGTCATATCAAATCACGTATGCCAGGTACTAAACCATATGCTTTTATTTTACTTTTTTTCATAATGTTTTTAGAGAAGAATAAAAGTATTTAAATTGGAATGACATTTGCACAAGTGTTGTGAGTTTCAAAATATTTTGATAGGCGGCCCTGGCTTATCTTCACGCGGTGTCTATTATTACAAATGATTGTTATAATGTTCCAACCCAGTGGGCACGGAAGTAAAAAAAGACGTCTTTTAAACGTCTTATACACGTTTTAGACGTTTTCTGAACGTCTTTCGAACGTTTTGGACGTATTTTAAACGTTTAAAAGACGTCTTTTTTTACTTCCGTGCCCACTGGGAATAATGAAATTGATTATTTTAATTATTTACTAAAAGCCAAGACAACTATTTAAAGTTAGAGTATCTAAAATTTTTTAATGCAGAACGATATAAAATTTAAATGTTACATTTTTTTATACGTTACAACACTGATATTTATGGTAATGAAATGAAATATATTTAATGAAATATCAAAAAATGAAATATACTTATTAACTTTGTTTGTTAAAGATACAATTATTTTTAAGAATTCAACACCTTTGTCAAACTTGTCAACTTAACCATAATTTACGAAAACACTTTTTTTTCAAAAGTAGGATTGGTTGTGGTCTTCAACTTTGGATTCTTGGTTATACCTGGTGCAAAAAGCCGAAATCAGGTTTTAAATTGTTAATTCATTTTAAAATAATTATAATTGTTATTATAAAGATTTTTTTATTTTATTTATTTATTTTTTCAGGTTATAGGGGGGGGGGGGCACACGCCTCTCCCACAAGTATATAAACGCACCACCAATAAATGAAATTCTTGTAAAAAAAGTTTTTATATGTTTTTATATTGTACAATAGTTTCACTTATTTTATAAAATATAGAAATGTTTATTTATAGCTAGAGAATTAAATATTTTTGAAATTAGGGTGTGTAAAACCATCACCACCACCAACTTTAAAACACATTAATTATTGTTGTTGGTATAGAATAAAATTATAGCAACTTTTTGTATAAAAAAACTAACTCCCAGGAAACGCCCAATAGGTGGACAATGTTATAACTTGTAGCCCACTGCTACACCTATCTTTTGATACCAAGTTATAGCTATTTAGATAAGAATTGACAAAGTTTTAACAATTTAAGTGAAGAAAAATTAAATTTTAACCACGGTTTCTTCAACAAATCCATAAATCAAAAATTTGTGACTAAAAACGCCATAAATTTTTGTAGAATAGTTTAATTTTAATAATTTTTTCACCTTTAAAATACTGTATTTTAAAATTT